TCAAGGTTTCGCGTGCATGAAATCATCACAACAGCCATTGCGCTCTGCCGTTGCGGCTGCGAGCGTCTTCGCCGTTTTTTTCTTCAATAAATAGTTCTATGGGTAAAGTGTTCGCTGCGCAATCACTGGGATTAGTTTTTGGGTCAAAGAGATAATCGTAAAAAATTTTGGGGTCAAAGGGGAATTCGTTTTCGAAAACCCCTTTTGACAACCTCGTGCCGGGCCCTGATTATTATTCCACATGTTACAAAAACAAAGCGAGATGCTGCATTCATGAAAACACAGAAGAATGCTGCTTCGGTAATTTCCCGATTATGGTCAGGAACGTTCTCGTGTAAATGTTTGAATGTGATTAGGTCAAGAAAAGAAAACTCTATAATAAAGAAATTCCAAGTGAGATTAAAAATGAGCAGCAGAAACGACAAATTTGGCAAAAAATGGCGTTGAATTGACAAAACCATCGATTTTACACGAAATCGATAGATCAACTTCTCAAGGCGCTTGATCTCCACATCATCCCAGTATCAAACAAAATTTACCAAAACCAGCAGAATACATTCCTTCACGGAGATTTAATTTTTCCTTAATGATGAATCCTAATTCGCCAACGTGTCTAGGCATTCGCCAACGTGTCTAGGCATCGTGCGGTTGCTTCTCTCTGAGCTCTGTTATACAAATGGTTCGACAGCGCAGGAATGCCGAAGATGAAGGTGGTATGCCACAATGGTCAGTTCAACTCATTGAGAGATTTGACAAGTATTCCAGCAGCATGGAGACGATGTTAAGTGAGTTGTTTGAGCGCATCTTTACTGAGATCAAGCACATTAAAACTTCTCAGGATTCGATGCTTGATCGCATACAGAGTCTGGAAGACAAAGTATGCCAGCTCAGTTCTGAGAAGTTAAATCAACAGAAACTTCTTTATTCAACTCTTGTAAAGATTCGCGCTGACGAAAGCAAATTAGAGGACAAGTCTAAACGCATCGCACTTGTGGGAATAGACGAGCAAAATGACGAAAAACTAACTCGCCGTTTTGATCTTGAAATTGTAAAAGAGTATATCTACACGTCCGGCGAGCAAGATCTAGCAGAAGAATTTGAACAAGGGCATGTAACAATACAGCGTTTCCCACCTAACGTAAAAAATTCTCATGCGCGTGGCCGCATTATTAAGATCGGCCTTCGTTCAAAAGAACTTAGGGACAAGCTTTTGCGCCACATGAAAAGTGGGCGCCAAAGTCTCACGCAAAAATTTGTTCATTCATATGCCAGACGCGACTACACTTTCGAGGAGCTGCAACTAGATCGAGCCCTCCGTAAACAAGCTGGTGATTTGAATGCGCGAGAGGGGAGACTAGCTTACGTTGTTCGCGATTTCGAGATCGTGAAACTCAAATCGCCGCGCGAACTTCCCAGGCGTTTCTTAACCTCGACTAGCTTCCGCAGCAACATTGCGAGCAATGCACATTGCATAAAAAGCACTGTTGACATGGAAGAAGAGCATGAAAATTCTCTTGCAACTAATTTGACTCTATCCCCAATCACTTGCTCACAATATACACCCAAAGCACACATACATTAGCCCAAAAGTCTTCAATCCGGGAAAATTTTGCACCATAACAAAAACCATTCTACATCATTTCTATCCAATAATAATATCGAAGGTCATGTAATTTTATTCAATGCACGTTCTATCTGTAACAAACTACCAGATCTACATAGACTTCTTTATTTTGGACCATCCATTGTGCTCATTACTGAATCCTGGTGTAAACCACAACTGATACATGATGCAAACATATGCCATAAATTCCAGTATGAAATTTATAGATGTGATAGAGAAGGCAGTACTCATGGAGGAGGCGTTCTTGCTCTTGTGCATAAAGACATTGAGCATCACCTAATCTCTACTCAGAATTTTTCTCCTTACTGTCAAAGCCTCTGTCTTTGCCTCACAAATACTATGACATGCACAAATTTGATATTAACGTATAGAAGTCCTTCATGCAATAATGCCTCGTTTGAAGAAGCATTACTATTCTTTGGTGAAATCCTTGACAGAAACCAAGATTGTATCATCTTAGGAGACTTTAATTTCCCATACTGTGACTGGTCCAATGTCATATCAACATTTCAAAAACATGACTCTTCTTCTATGAGACTACGGCAGCTAGTGGAGACTTATAACTTACGCCAGCTTGTGAATGTTCCCACTCATGATGTACATATGCTAGATCTCATTTTCACAAACAATGACAAAATGATTAAGAAACTGAAATTTCATCCACCGTTTTCTACATCAGACCATTCTTCCATCTCATTTCAGCTAAACAAACATCATTTAAGTGGTGCATCGCCAAAATATTTGCCTGACTTTCTCCATGCAGATTACAATGAAATAAACGCTGATTTGCTGAGAGTAAACTGGCGTAATGCTATACTGAACACAACCTCAGCAGACCAGTGTTATCAATCATTTGTTACTCATTGCCAAACATTGATAAATAAGTTTGTACCCAAAATTAAGATTGACCAAAAACACACATTTCCATATCCTAAAAAGATCCGAATGTTAGAAGCCAAAGTTTCCAGATTGTATCAAACCAGACATAGAACCGGAATTAAAAAGTATCAAAGATTTTCTAGAAAGCTCAAACGCGAGTTGGCCCAATGCAGGCTTTCTGAGGAAAATGCCATTGCACGTAGCCGTAATATCAAGAATTTCTTTCGCTTTTGTAATCAAAACCTAAAGGTGACAAACAATATTGGAACTATCTATGATTCATTAGGTAACATATGTAAATCAGATAAAGAAAAAGCTGAAGCATTCGCCGCAATTTTTAAGAACGTTTACAAAAAACCTACAAATGTTAAAACCCAATGTCCACAGTTTACAAATGAGAAAATTGATTTTTTGGATATCACTGGTGACATTGTTTACCAAATTTTGAAAAAATTACCTCTTAGAAGATCTACGTCACCTGATGGACTTCCCTACATATTTCTGAGAAAAGCAGCGCTTGGCATTTCTTCTGCCCTCAGCCTTCTTTTCCAAAGATTCTTACTCCACGGGGAAACCCCAGCACTTTGGCGTACAGCGATCGTGAAACCGATCTTCAAAAAAGGCAACAGATCGCAGCCCAAGAACTATAGGCCCATCTGCCTAACTTCTTCAGTTAGCAAAGTATTTGAGAGAATAATTTGCAAACAAATTTGCAAATATCTCGGAAATAACCAACTCATAAATGCAGCACAACATGGATTTTTACCTAAAAGATCGACACTTACAGCTCTTATGTCCACTATATCAATATGGCATAAGATAATGAATGAAAAAGGATTCATTACCGTATGCTATCTAGATTACAAGAAAGCTTTTGATTCAGTAAATTTAGAACTACTTTTCAACAAACTCAATGCATATGGAGTGAAAGGTTGTCTTCTGAAATTTCTCCAATCTTTTCTATCAAATCGTACTCAACAAGTCATAGTCAATAAATCCTTGTCTTCTACGTATCAAACAAGCAGCGGAGTTCCTCAGGGGACCTGCTTAGTGCCTCTCATGTTTTTGCTGTACATAAATGATCTACCATTAGCTCTTCCTGATGGTATCACCTGTTCTATTTATGCAGATGATACCAAACTATACTGCTGCAATTCCCCTCGGCTGATGCAAAAAGCTTTAGATGCGGTGGTAGAATGGTCTGAGAAGTGGGACCTTGACATTTCAGTCGAGAAAACACATATCATGCTTATTGGAGCTAAACATCCACGACCGTGCACTTATTACATAGGAGGTCAAAAGATTCGAGTGACAAACTCCATAAAAGACCTTGGCATTACCTATTCTGACAACCTCAACTTTGACGACTATATAAATGAAATTACAAGAAATGCCCATGCTCGATGTAACTACATATTACGTGCCTTTAGAACGACGAAAATCCAAACTCTCTTCAAGCTTTTTGTCATTTACGTCCGTCCTATGCTAGAATACTGTACACCTTTGTGGTCTCCAACTAAGAGAAATGCAATTGATGCCTTAGAAAGAGTGCAGAAGTCATTCACTGCACGAATATTTGCAAGAGCTGGGCATTTCCATATGTCATACAAATCAAGACTTTCTATACTTGCCACTACCTCTTTGAGACTCAGAAGAACAATTTATGATCAAAATCTCGTCTACAAAATTATGACTAAAAGAATCTATCTCACGATGCACGATTTTTTCGTACTATCCAACTTTAATGCTATAACTAGAGGACATAACTTCAGGTTTATCATAGGAAAATTACAAACACAGCAATTTCATGACTCTTTTCCGATACGCATAATCAACACATGGAACAAGCTTCCAGTAACGGCGATTAAAGCTTCATCGACATTTGTGTTTAACAGAGAAGTTCAAAAAACCTTGAAATCTAAAGGATTCTTCTAACAACATTTTTTACAGAACGGTGTAAAAAACGCTTTATTGGATCACTATTACTGACCTTCGGCCAGCTATTTCAAAACGCCAAAATTACCATTCAGCACCTCTGTATTTTTTATCTATGTATTCTTCTCCTCTGTGTATTTTTTTATTGATAGTTTATGTCTTTTTTGCACAAAAAAATTTTTGTTTATGGCGAATCATTTTCCTTATTGTCCTGATCCTGCCGCTTATTTGAAAAGAGATTCTTTTTTTGAGGGCTAAGTCAGCTAGCTTTTGCCCGCAAGCTCGCTGGCATTTAAACAATGGGATGCACATTACTTTTCAAAAGGCAGCAAGATTTTTTATGTCGGTTATTTGAGTCCAAACTGTACTTATGTTGTGTGATCTTTTTTTTGGAATCGACTGTTTACGTAAATAAATAAAATCCTTCTCTATTAGTCATATAACCTTTTACTGTCACAAAAGTTATGTCCAATTTCGTCAGCCGGAGTGTACTCATAAAGAAGATTCCTCCTGAAATCTTTCTTGGAAAAAACTTATTGTTATGGTATCACAATTGGTACAATTATCGTGATATTTTATTTCACAGATATATTCAGCTGAATTGTAAAAATAAATATACAGATTTAGTGCAGTGTCGATTTGTTGGCATTATTTCGAAATGTATTCAATGAGCTTCTGATGCGGCACGACACCTCCGACAGCGACCTAAAAAAACACATGATGAATTTCTTTGACCTAATTGGGAGTTTCCGACCTGACTCAAGAGGTTATCAATCTCCTGATGACTCATTCGCTCTCCAATCGATGACAAAATTGCTCGCAATTCCTTTGCCGGTATGGATCGTTTATTGTCTCTGGAATAGGAAATCGTATGATTACGGACAAAAAATGTTAGAATTGATAAAACGCGCGCCAGTGCTAAAAGCACAACGACGTGCGGCGTGGGCTGGGCGTCGTAGCGCTTAGCGATTGCGCGTTTAGACTTACGCCACCGCCTTCGTGGTAGCTTTTATAAACTTCAGTGAACCTTCAGTACAAGGTTTTGTTAATTTTCAATAATGCTTTATTTGAAGATGACAATTTTAAATTGCCTCACAAACCTGTCTAGACCTCGTAATGCCTTTATTATCTCCGTAAGTTCATCGCCACTGTTGTGCTCCTCCTTGGCAATTTCAAGAAATGTTGCGAAGTCCATAGGCTTTTCTGTATATACACACTGTCAAAAAGTTTAGGCGAAATGTTGATAGCCACTATAGAATCGAAACAGAGCCCAATGTTGGCGGAAGCCAAATACATATAAATTGGTGCAAGAGTTCATTTGCACCAATTTAAAAAAAATCCCATCCTTCTTCAATTTAGCTGATTGCTTGACACAAGTTTTTCTTCCCGAGTAAGAAGATTATTTAGCGTCTGAAAATTTTGAAGCATTCTTCTAAACACAAGCGACAGAGAAAGAACATGAAGAAGACTCATCACCATACTAAAATATTACAGAAGATTGAGCAAAATATGTGCTCGAATGTTTTGATTAGAATTTATGATTCGAGACGAAAATGAAGAAATCAGTTTAGCCGGTTTGTGTTTCACAAATGTAATTCTCCCAATGACTCTCGATCAGCACAAACTTTGCGAATAGAAAAGTCCTAAAATCTAAATTTACGGCTGTTTCGGTCCGTTTTTAGAATTCTGTTGAGTTTGCTCAAAATTACCTTAAATCGTGGAAGCAATCTTAGGTTGTTGAAAAGAAAAATTCAAATTTTCAGAAATTCAAAAAATTTTGAATTTTTCTTTTCAACTTTCAGTGAAGTTGAAAAGAAAAATTCAAAATTTGCAAACCAAAAGCCGGATCTCTGTTTAAAAAATCTTACAAAGCTCCAACTTGCTCAAGAAAGTTATCTCACATTAACTATGCATATATATACACTTGCTGTGATTGTTTTCAAATCTAGAAGTTGAGAAAATCAAGTTTGGCATGTTTCAACAAAAATGCTGAATTGTCTCGACATGGATAATTACATACTACTAGAAGCATAACAAAATCTCCGCCTTCTAAAAAAAACCAGAAGAACGCAACATGTTAAATCTTAGGCCTAGTTCCATTTTCAATTTTCATGTATGAAGAAAATACGACATGTGTACGTTCATATGACTGTCTGATGTGTACAGCATATGCTTGACCAAATTGGGAGCTTTTTAAATGGAAATCTAAATTTTGGGTATTCAAAATTCTTTGATTTCTTATGCCAAACTTCAAGTGAAACGAACTTTTGCAATTGTTGAAACACTGTCTTGTAGAGCCTTCGTTGCTCTATCACATGATTTTTCTATCTTGTCTGCCACTTCAGGATAAAAAACATGCATTAAATTTGCATTAAGCTAATAATAACATATTTGCCATGCAATTGCATTCGGATAGAGAGAAGATGAGATTTTTCACAAATGGTGCAAACGAACTCTCGGACCAATCTAGTAAATTTATAATCACACTTACTTGCTTTCTTGAAATATTCATTAGTTTTTGCTGCAGTTGGTGAATAGCCAAGGCTCCTCAGGATACATCGCAATTGTGGCACGGAATGTACAATCCCATCTTGGCTGTACATATTGAAACATTCACGGATTTCTAAAAAAGGATAGGCAACCAAATTTGAGGGTAACTTCAATCACTGATGGTTTCTCCTTTAGGAGCTGATTTTCTATCTAAATATAAAGAAGACAAAATTCAGCTAATTGTTGAATTTCTAATTGTTTTCCCTAGTACTTTTGGACCAATCAGATTCATCTGTGCAAGACTTCTTTGCAGAGAATATGATGGCATTTTTAGACAGATTAAAAACCTAAGAAGCAACGACAATCCTACAATGGGTTTATCGACAGGATTTTTTGCTGAGATACGACAAATAAATCTTGCGCTTAAGATGTTTGCGCAAACAGATCGTACCAGTATTTGGGGAGAAAATAGGATCTTCTATATGGTCAAATAAACGAGATATTTGGATCAGGTAAAGGAGCGTTAAAATAGAGAAATAATTTTGAAAAGGTGAAAACCCAAAATAGCTGATTTTTCTTCCATTAGGTTGAACCGAGAGTTCGCTCGCACCATTTCTAAAAAAACTTTTTCTAAGGGCACTTTGCCTGCACTTTACTAAGCTTTGATTGCAGAGATAAAACTGGAAAAGGAAAATCACTTCAATTACGAATTTCGAGACAAGTCCGTTGAAAATTCCGCAATTGTGCCATAAAATCTAAAACAGACTGTACCCTAGATTATTTGTGCCTCTCCCTCTAACGGAGGAAGATCAGTGCTGTTTAAGCTGTTCTTTAGAAAGTTATGATTTATGAGAAAAAATGTAATAAAATCAATTTTCTCAAGAAGCTGTTTTTTTTGGCACTTCTCGGAAACCATAACTTTTTTCAAAAAGGCTGGTCAGCACAAAATTTGCTCTGCTAGAAAGAGGAGATCAGAAAACCTTAGTTGCCTGTTTTGAATATTATGGCACAATTTTGGATTTTTTAACGGGCTTGCCTCAAAATTCTGAAATTAAAGTGATTTCCTTCTCTCAATTTTATCTCTGCAATCAAAACTTAGTAAAAGGCCAAAGTGTCCTTAGAAAGTATATGCTTTGCACTTCCAAATATTATTTGCAAGATTGATGTAAGAGGAAGAAGTTACGATTTTTTGAAAATGGTGCGAATGAACTTTCGGTGCAAAATATATATGGACAAGAAAAAAAGAGGTATTTGGATCAGACAGAGGAGGCCTTTGAATGCAGTAATGGTTTTTGAGAGAACACAACCCAAAACAGGTGCATTTGCTCTATAAGGACAAAGAAAGATATTTAGAACATGCATGGGAGGCCTTCTAAAGCAGATAGTAATTATTGAAGAGAACACAACCCAAAACTGGTGAAGTTTTCCTCTAACAAGAAGATCTAACTGGTTAAATGTTAAGAATTAGAGAGACATACGTTTAAGTAAGAAAAATACAACTAATTGAGTGAAATTTGGACAAAAGAAAAAAAATAACGCTTACCATCGATTTGTTTATGTGTGAAGAATTCAGTCTGAAATATGAAAAGGTTAGTTGCGTTTAATAAGCTCAAACGAAATTCCTTATACGGAAATCAATAGTCGGGAGACGAACGCTCACCATATCTCGAAAACGGCGACGTCTACAAAGGAGCGGCGGCGACCCGTCTGTCGCCGCGATTGCTGTTTGCCGATAGCTGTCGATTAACTATCGGAGATGTGAGGCTGCGAGATTGGAAGAAAAAGTTGTTCAGCGCGAAAATAAGAAACAAGAACAATGTGATGATGAATTCCATAAGATTCGACTCGCTTGTTCAGTGGTGACGATAATATTAGGTTGTCCTAAAAGTGTCGGATCTTTCAAAAATTGCAGTCTAGTAGATTGTTCGCTCAATATAGTGTGCTTGCGGTGCCGAGAAAATGCGGTAAAATTGCGCGTGAACAAGGAGCTACGCCTGTGATGCAGGGTACATGCGCCCGCAGATTGCGGCATGTCAGGCGTAGCTATTTGTTCACGCGCAAATCTCACCGCAATGTCTCGCACCGTTAGCATACTAAATTTACACGCTGTCGACTGAACCATTTGTCTCTGTAAGATAAATGTAATTTTGGAAAAACTACGCATTTTGCAAAGTACGTCTATCCCAGAGGCTTGCCAGAAATTGCACATACTAGCTAGCATACCTGGCTCCGGACGGCCCTGTGCTCAAAATACAGTGATAATGATCACCACCTCCATTCCTGTACAACCTTTCCCTGTGCATACTTTCACATGTCAAATCCCTATCTCGTTTTATTTTCGTAAACAGCATGCCCATTTACCCTTTGTAAACTCCCAGCTCCGTAGCTATGGTATTACATACATTCTGTCGACAAGTTATTACACGACTGACATGAATAGACGATCGCTTGCGTCCACCTTCAAAGACTTAAAGTTTTTTCTATTGATATAGTGCGCAAATAACGACTTGACTAAGAATGGAGTGTAAAGGACATGAACTAGAAGGAGCATAGTGCAGAGTATTGTAGAAAAATTATGTGACTGGAGGTTGTGGTAAGCTTTTGAAATTCCCTACTACCACAAAATGATAAAACAGATCGTTTGCAAGGCACAGATAACGATGTGGAACGGGATTTGGTGCGTGTACGCGCAGTTGGACTAAGGAAGAAGGAAACTTATGTGAATAAAAGGCGTGCCTATTTTCCCGCCCATCATGTGCCCAACTGAGGTAGGCAAAACTTCCGTGTCATATAAGTTCTTCAAAGTTTTTACAAATCTATTCTACACCTAAAGTTTAGTATAAAGTAAAATTTTGTCCAAATTTCCTCCTCTCCTCCTTAATAGGATTAGAAATAGCAACGACGCCGATCCTTTTGAGAAAGAAAGCACACTCCAATTGAACAACAACCTGCGCAGCTGTCGGGTCAAGTGGGAAATGATAAAATTTGATAGTAGCAAAGGAGAAGTCGTTTCACCGATGTCCATTTGTCACCCCCCGTGCTGAGCCCTGAGTAGGAGTATTTCGGGGGAGATAACTTCACCCCTTCGTGGCCGACTTCCACTTTTTTGGTAAAATACAGTAGAATCAAGTCATTTCATATGATCACATGTGTAACTGCACACACTGCCAACCTTTGGCGATTTTTACCGTGGATTCATGGAGGCTGACAGTTCAATAAATGTCTTCTATGTGTTTTTTATGTTTTCTTTTCTTTATTAGTAATAATGTTGTGTTACGCCCGCTCACATGTATAAAAGAGGATGAATCTACATAGTCAGAAATTCATTGGTGTTTTTCTTAATGATATTACCTTTGACGGTAAGTCATTTTTTCTCAAGCCATCATAAAAACTGCAAAAGATGATTTTTTTCAGGCAGTATTAGTGCCTTCAGCTCTTTACGAGATTGGTTTCGGGTTCAAGGCGATGTAAGCGATGACAATTGGCCAGCTTCTTTCATTTTTGCAGTTGCATATTCAGAGGAGGATGATAACGTGTGCAACGCACACATGATTATATGAAATGGTTCCATTTCGATCATAAAATATTACATGTTATGACCACTCCATCTCATATATTTACATGAACGATTATAATTGTACATGATATATTAGGGTGATCGGAAAGTAATGGGACCCTAAAGAATAAATGTACTTTTCTCAAACAGAAAATCAATTGGATGTCCAAGTTTTGGGAGATGTTAATACATATCGAAGTCTTCTGCTCGAGGTCTATAGATAGGTACTGTGGCATTGGTCGTGTTTATAAGTGCTCAAAATCTAACAAGGGAAGGATACCAACATTAGCTGGCGACTGAAGATGAGATTTCATTCCATTTCATTTTATTTGTACGCTCAAGGCGTTCCAATACAAAAGAAAAAAACACAAAACACAAATCGAGAAGTTAGTAATACAGCGGAATAAGCAATGAACGAATGCAGACATCATCATATCAATCCGAGTCTAATCCTAGTCAGACTAATGTACGAAAGATGAAACGGCTTGCATTGAGTATGTTGATAGGCTAATAGCTAGATATGTATAAATATGTAGGCATTGATAGGCATTGATACTCATAACTCCAAAAGTTATAACTCCAAGGAGATGAGACCCATGCCCCCTCGTTGCCAGCGGAACGATCTTTGTATTAAATGATGAAGAGATGTATGTAGACGCGACTTTAAACGCTGATTCCAAACCTACTTTCCTTTTTTAAGAAATAAGTCTCCGAAAAAAGTTGTAGGCGTTGAAATGTCCAAATTTGTCAAGGTTTAGAAGGCCTAAAATTGGCGAAAAGGTGTACAAAAACACGGAAAGTGGAAAAACATTTTTGTATCGAGTGTGTTGTTTGCAAGGAAGGAACAGCCGGTGGAAATCGCATAGTTGTTTAGAGTGTCGCTGAGCACTCAATGCTTGGCAAATCTGGACATTCAAAGACTCAAAACTTCTTCCGGAAACTTATTCCGCAAAAAAGGAAAGCAGATTTGGAAAGCGTTCAAAGGCGCACCTAATGATATACATCTCATCTTCAATTGCCAACTAATGTTGGTATCCTTCCTTTGTAAGCTCGTCGCTTCAATTAATTTCGAACTCGAAGCAGCAACGCCGCAGTAAAACAAGTGAGGCTCCAAAAATATATGCGCTGCAATGAATTAGGGGACTGTCACCAAATCCACGATAGTGATGGCCCCAACGCTTGCAACAGAAGATATAGCATTAAGTATTAGGTGACATATTATCTCTTTTCTCATCGAGATGTTATGCGTTAACCTTTAACGGACGACATCTGATAGAGCTTTTCACGCTCTATCCATACTTAGGCAATTTACCTCGAGGAAACCTCGCATTCAAAAAATTGTGGGCCAAACACGTTTTTTAGTGTGGAAAACCTGCGCCAATTATTGCAATTTTACGGATAATCTGCCTCTTCTATATAAAATGATGAAGGACTTCTGCAGGTTCAAGCAATAATTAAAGGGAGTTTGGAAAGGTACTTTGAATGGTATATCACATGCCCAAGGACTTCAAGGTACTGCAGTACAAATTTGGATAGCGTTCAAAGTTTCTGACTTCATGCGCCGCGCGAAGGACTGTATGATCTGAGCTGCAGGTTGCTGCCAGGATAACATGCGAAGATCACTTCATACAAATGTATTTTGAGTGCTGGTTGTTTATTGTTATCACAAAAAACATCGAAGATGCAAAAAATTGAAGTGTCCCATCACTCCCGATCACTCTAATAGAAACGAAATACATGCATGTTGATCAGAAAAGCTCATGAAAGTGGGCCCGGTATTGAGCCAACATCACATTCGGCTTCCTCAAGGGAAAATCAAGGTTGCTTCTGAGAAAGTGATAAGAGACCATTCCATAAACAATGAAAAAATTATAAACTCTGGGTAAATTAACTGCAGTAATGTATTTGATGACATGTTATGAAATAAGTGTAAGTGGATTTGTACTTAGCAACGTGGGAGGTAGATGTGGAAACAAATTTGCGAATACAATTATGTATTCCCACTTATGAGTCCACAGTCTTTGAGTAACCTTTGCATGTTGGCTGCGCTTCTCCAGAACGAGATAGCAGATGATAGCAGACTATATGTACTCATAGTAGAACAGAAGCCAAAAATACACATTTCGGCCACCAATTATGCAAATAAATTGCTGAGAACTAATCAAACTCAAACACTTGATACTACAATTTTGGAGAGCTGCATTAAGATTGTATGGTTGTTATTATATTCTACTGGAACTGAACAATGAAACTGCTTGACGGACTAAGCCAAAAGTAATCCTTTGAGGCTTTATTTGTATAGCTTCATACATTACAGCGGTGAGATGTTATGTTTTTAAGTGGTAAACGATGTTTGAAATAATAAAAGTACATCAAACACATATGTACGCGTGTATATAAACCCAAACCATTTCGCTTAAGGGGAGCCCTCCCTTTGGTCTTCCATCAGGTAAGCTATAACCAAGGTCAAGCGTGGGGCGTGGCACGCCACACCTGGGGGGGGGGGGGGTGTTGAGAGGTCAGGGAGGGGTTGGGGGGGGGGGGGTCGTTATCAAGACGATTTTTTGATATTTGTTAACTATGTCAGACAGGCCCATCGCAAAATACTAGCACATTGATGTGAGATTATAGTTAGTACGTCAAAAAATTCCTGTGGTCCAAGTTTCGGCGATCTCTGAGGTTTCCAAATATTGAGCCACCCAAGTGAGATGGTCAATTTCAAACTTGTTACTCTTGTTGCAAAGGTAAGTTAATTACTTCTTTTGCACTCAATACAAAGAACTAATTCTGCTTTGCTTACACTGGGAATCCTGCTCCAAATAAGCTCCAAGTTAAAGAATTGAGAGCACGCCAAAATCTCGCATGTTCCATTCTTCGTCTTCAATATCTCAGACTAGAGAAGACCAATTAGGTTCATATCATTTTGGTGTAAATAACGAGGCTTAGATCATCAAATGTTGGGTTGTCTCGAAAGTTTTGTCGGTTCTTTCAAACCACTATAAAACCACGCACAATAAGGATCTGAATGAGTTTCGAAATGTACTCGATGCAGCTTTTCCTTCTCATTCTTATGGATGCATTTTCGAACCATAATCTTGTACGCTTTTTCGATAATTGCCAAAACTCCACCCATTAACTTTATCTGTTCAAAATTAGGCTAATTTTCAAAAATGTCTTCCAAAGTTTCAAAAAGGGTTAAGTATGGAGCAA